AACCCTGGCGTTGTTTTAAACCATTTACGGAACTAATGATTGCTTCGATCTATTTTCAAACAATGACTACAATCTAAGAAAGTTAAGGAGAAGAAAGGTTTAATGGTGATAATAGGCTTTTTCCCGTTTCTCTAATGAAATATAATCTAGAAAGACTTCAGAAAAGTACAGTACGTAGGAGTCAACTATAAACTGAAAACAAGAAACTGCTAAAGTACACAGAAGAAAGAAAGATGAACAAATCGGTCCACAAGTTATGACTTTTAAAATTATATAAGTAAATTTGACCTAATATTGTGGTTCTTGGTACCATTCAATGACTATGAGCAATAACTCTTATTAGAAATATCATCCAGCAAATACTACTATATTACTAGTGAGACTATGAGACAGTAGTGGTTTGGTACAATGGAGTTATTCATACTGAAAGATGGCTGAAGGGGAAATGAAATGAAGTGTCAAGGTTGGAACTAGAGTTATGTGTTACGCTACACTTCAGTATCCAAGTTTTACTCTTAGGCTATAGACATACAATTTTCCAATCCATGATAATGTTGAAGCCATTTAGAGATCAGACGATAGCTAAGATCTCAGAAATGAAATTGTTATCACACAAGACCAACATTTTCAATTCGCTGAACAGCTCGCAACATGAATACACCGATTTCATTTAATTTTGCAAAATCATCCATATCACAAGCGTAGCAGTTGACTAATTTTTGTTTCATTGAAAAAAGACATTAAATGCTAAATAGTTAATCATCACTAGTCTGTTATAAACCACACCTGATGAAGGCTAAGGATATTTTTCGTATACTTGGTTCGCCAATATTTGAATTCTTCATTTCTTACTTTTTTCACAATGTTTTATGAGATTTTACAAGCCTAGCAGAATTTTTTTCTTTGAGTTAAAATACTGTCACAAGGTATCAGATGACACTCTTCTTTATTCTACTTGAGGTTCGCTAAGGGTTGTAACTTTCATTGTTTCAAGCAACATGGCAAATATTTTGGCACATAGAGAGTACATGAGATAATTCACTAGAATCCAGGTGCTAAAATTAAAAGAAAATCCAGTGTGATAATCCTAAGGATGTTTTGTAATCTGGATGTTTGAAGCAAAATGCAAAGTGACACCAAATCAAAACGCTAATAACACCGACAAATATGGAGTAATAAAAAGCTTGAGTTTTTCTATAAGATAGCTTTTCGTCTTAGTTTTGCACTTATTCACTATCATCCGAAAGTTTGTGAAAATAGAAATTCGCTCAGAAATTCAAACTAACTTCAATTTGAACCATGGTTACATACTTTACAACTGAACTAATCAAACCCAAACTTCATAAATATTTCCATAACGAAACTAGATTTACTTCAAAAAGTATAGACTAAATCCTAATGAAATGTCCTGGCCTGGTGATGACATGGCTAAGAAAAAGCCTAGAATCCTGGAGAAAAGCAAGTAACCAACAACGTTTTACAATGTGCCATTCATCAAGCGTGTGTTAATCCAATCAATCATATAATTCCTTGTGAAACGGTTAAACTCGTTTAAACAATAAAATGTAGTTTAGTACTTCAGGCTGAAATGAAAGTTATCATTTATTAAAAATCTGTAGTAAAGTTTCATTTCATGAAAAGTGATGAGAAAATCGTACTTGGAATAAAAGGATTACTGAATATAGCTACTTCACTATGATCTATTATTATTATTATTATTATTATTATTATTATTATTATTATTATTATTATTATTATTAGTCCCTTGGGTTCCTAATGGAACATAGGGTTTCAGTAGCACGTCTCCAGTGACCTCTGTTCTATGAGATCTTTTGAACCTGGTTCCACGACACCCCACAACCTCTCATTTCCTCTTCGCACGACCTCCTCCATGTTACCCTCAGCTAGGACGCCCAACTCGTCGCTTCCCATGGGGATTCCACTCGAGGGACTGGCCTGATGCGTGATGTCCCCAGTCTGCCTTCTCAGTGCATGGCCAATCCATCTCCACTTCTTCCTGCATATTTGTTGCGTGATAGGTTCTTGGTTGGTTCGTTCCCACAGCTCATTGTTGCATATTCTTATTCTTCTGGCCATCTGATCTTCAGTAACGAGACAGCGTGGGCAGTTGTTGATGAATGTCTGTAGTTTATTGGAAATCCCTTTCGTGACGCGCCAAGTCTCTGAACCATACAGGAGCACTGACTTGACGTTGGTGTTGAAAATCCGTATCTTGTTCCGCATGCTGAGTGCCATTATTTTTCGCTGATTACCATGCATCATGCAGCTTCATCGTGTTTATTCAATATTCGCATATCTTTGAATGAAAAGAAAAACTTTACACTATCTTTGTTCTATCATTTAAAATGCATCCTAAGAGATCCTGAGTAGTCTAAAACAAGAGCTGTTCAGACTTGAAATATTGTGCATTAAAAGCACATACATTTACAAGTATCCAACCACAACTTTAGAAAGAGTTATCTGTGGGTTGGAAATAAACTGAAGGTCCTGGGTTCTATCTCCGATGAGGTTATGGATGCCCACTGCTGAGAAGTCCTATACTAAGACGAAACAGCTGTCCAGTACTCTAAGGTTTCCAATGTTCCTCCAATTGATGTCAGTGCATAATGGATTCAAACTAAAAATCAACTAATAAACCTCCGCAAACCTCCAGAGAGAAATAAACTTTTAGTTTGCCGATGAATGGATCATTTTACCTTTAACTATACAAACTATCTAAATCATAGGTAACTGATTCATTGCCATCAGAAAACAGCCAAAAATTTAATCACTTTTAAAATAAAGGTCCTTAAGAAATAAAATTTTCAAAAGCATGGGGATGAAGAGTCTTTTTATTCAAAACCGAATACAGTTGCAAGTTTGTAACTCAGTAATATTACATTTTTTATTAAAACAGTAAGCGAAAAGGAAACAGAATAAAAATAGCCTTAATGATGGGTAGTGAGTGGCTAGCAGTGGAATCCACTACATGCGTTTCCTCCAATTTGGGGTCCTCAACCAGATGTATCTGCACCCCAGAGACTGATGGTGTTCTCAATGAGACTCAAACCCCATACCTGTCGCTTCAAAACACCAAAGCGTCACCCACTAAGCTACTGAGGCACAATAGCCATCTCTTGGTTGAAGCGACAGGTATATGGTTAGAGTCTCAGTGGGAACAACAACACTCATTGGGGTTCAGGTACATCCAGTTAATGAGTCCCGAATTAAACGAAACTCGCATCCTTGCTTCCGCTGCTAGTCATCACCAAGTCACTTATAACAAAATATATTCAGGCAGTATCGAAATATCTGCACAGAAGACCATTTGCCAACAGAGGTTGATGAATTTGATGCAGCATAACAACGGAAAACTGCAGGTACCAATAAATAATAAATTGGTATAATGCTCAAAATTTCACTGCAACAAGACAAATGTCGTCAGTAATTTGCCCGTAGTTGCTTAACTCTCGGGATATACCAGTATGCCATGATCTCAAACTTCATCAAATGAACGACAAACTGAATGGCCTTAAGTAATAAAACAAACCGCTGTAGAAAATTAACTGATTACACTAACACATAAATACTCCAAATCAAACTGTACTATGTTAATCATTCAAAGTTTTCTTGTGCTTTAATCCTAGTATCCATGATTAAGTGATATTTAGATTACTAGAAAACTTTGATCTATAAAAGTCAGGTTTTTTAACTACAAAATTTACCTGCAAACATTTCAATAGTTACCTGAAACAAAATAATGATTTTCAAGTAGAAACAACCACGAAAGCATCTTCCTGATAAAAGTGAACTATTCTTGATACCAACATCATTCTGCACGTTTAACACTTTCATAAGTTGTGCTCGGAATCTCTACCGAAGTGATTGTGCCTCGTATGCTTACATGTTGAGAAAAATATGGTCTATTACCTAACAGTCACTCAGTACAACAGCAGAATGATAATTATTCTCCATTTTGCTTAGTCTAAGCGATGTTGGTAGAAAAGCAACAACAAAGATATAAGTAACTTTCAGATTTGTGTACAATTGAGTGGCATACTTTCATCCAACTTGTTTGGCTTCACAGTGGTAATCAATTACTCCATTTGGTATTTTTTCAATTTTTCTGGTCCATTTTTATCTTTTTGGTGTTCAGCCTCTGAATCCATTCCTTTCTAAATGAGTTAATGACGGTTTAACATCTCTCCAAAGGTAACTACTTCAATATTATAAAGAAGATTTCTTGTAAACTGCAAATTTGATTACTCATAGAACAGGAAATGTTTTCAGGTTGGTATGCATCATGTACTGACATCAGTTGAAGAAACATTGGAAACCTGAGAACCAATTAAGTCAAACATGATGACAGTTGCTGAGCGACAACATTGAATAGAGGTCACTCAGTATCATAAACTGACAGAAGTAGGAAATATGGATCACTGGATTCCGACTTAATGGCTCAATGGTAACGCGCTGGCCATGGAACCTAAAGGTTATGGGTCCGACCCCTGGCAAGGCAGGGTCATAGATGAGCACTGCTAAAGAGTTCCATACTAGGACGAAACAGCTGTTCAGTGCTCCCGGGTTTCCACTGTTTCTCCGTTTGATTTCAGTCTATAATAAACACCAACCTAAAGTCAATAAATAAATCCTCACAAAACTCCAAATTGAAGAAAACATTTTAGCTTAGTGAAACTGTAAAATATGGGTTTTTCTTTGGACAAACACTGATAAGTAATGAAAGTACTGCATCAGGACCATTCATATCTGTCCAAAATACCTAGTATAACTAAATATAGGCTTAGATTACACACACCACTAAACTTTATCATTTTCTATTTCATTGTTCACAATCTGGTTAATCCGTAATTACATATATCGCCTTTGAAATACTACTGAGAAAAGAAAGGCTAGAAGTCGTAACAACAGTGCGAAGTAAAACAACAAGTTTTTCATCAGACGAAAATTTAAAAAGAAACTGGGAAACTGAGTCAACTTACCAGTGAGTCGTTCTTTAAACTCACGCAGCCATTATCCTCTGAAGAAAGACGAACGCTGTTGCTATCATTATTATGGGATAGGTTTAAAAGTTGCAGTTCTTTACAATCAGCATAGAAAGTTGGATATGACTGACGATCTGCGGTAAAATCGCCAACTAGTGATGTCTTGCCAGGAGCGCTTGTCTGTCTCACATTAAAACTTCTAGCTCTCACCGACGGTGATTCAACAGCACCTTCCGTTAGTGAACTGTGTTTGGACTTAAAGCTTTTTATTCTCTCATTGTGATGACAGTATGCCTACATTAGAGGCGAAAAATGAAGGAATATTCTTTAGTGATTTTGATAACGAGTGTTTTTTATTTTCTCTGTTTGAATGAACAAAACAATGAAAATTGAGATATGGATAAATACTGAATTAATCATAGTAATTATCTCTTTCTTATGCTTTAACCGGGTGAAATGGTATAAACCAAGTATCCATATATACATCTGGAAATCACACCACTGGGCTGCGACTAAAACTCATTCGGTTAAAGACTTAACTAAAGAATGAACCACAGCTCAGGATCCCTATTAGGCTGTACAGTATCTTTATTTTCTATAAATAATTTCGCCAGTAGTCAATGGCTGGTTATCATTCTCCATTATTTGCTTAGACTGTATGTAGTTTACCAACGTAAAGCGCGTCACTATTGAAGGTTTTCTCTACTTAAATACAAAGGTTTGCATGTTCATTAATATACAGTTATTTCCAGCAGACTGTGACTTACCCAATTCACTCCAAAAACATCATATTCACTGGTAACAAGTGAATCACAGTCTTCCCAGTATCCACTACTGGCAATACTACTTGTAACTAATTGATCTAATAAATTGCCATCTTTTTCTTCAAGATAACTAGGTATTTTATTCCCTTCATTCGATCTAGATTTTGTTGGTGATGATGCACAAAATATTTCCAAACTGGTTGACTGGATCATGTGTAGACAACACTGATTTCCGTTGAAATTACACTTTCTTTAGGTGTTATTTCTACAAGCAACAAAGATAAACACAACAAAGCACCGTGAACGCTTAAAAAATACAGACACAATTCATAAGGTGATCACTACCCATCACATCATGTGATAGAAAGAATTAACGAATGATGGCGTGAATATCTGATATAGCTTTAGCTTGTAACGAAAATTATTATTATTATTACTTATCCTTTGGGTTCCTAGTGGAACATAGGACTTCAGTAGCACGTCAACATTTCATCCTCTTCTCTGTAGTCTCCTCACATCTAACTCCATGACTGCACACAAGCTTTCAGTTCTTCCTAACATGATCTCCTCCATGTCACAATCGCCTCGCACGCCCAACTCGTCGTTTCCCATTTGGATTCCACTCAACGACCTGGCCTCGCCTCAAGCGTGGTGTATCCAAATGATCTTCTCAGTGTATGCCCAATCCAATCCATCTCCACTTTCTTCTGTATATTTCTTGGACGATGGGATCTCGGTTGGTTCATTGCCAGCCAGCCAGCTAGCCAGCCAGAGTTCCTTGTTGCCTACTCTCATTATTTTGGCCATCTGATCTCCATCTTCAGTATCGAGTGAGCGTGGGCGGGAACTGTTGATGAATGTCTGTAGTCTGTTGGGGATCCTTTTCGTGACGCCCCGAGTCTCTCAACCATCACACAGAAGCACTGGCTTACTTGGCTGAATTAGTGTTGAAAATCCAGATCTTGTTCACGCTTTATCTTGAGTGCAGTGCGGTAGATCTCCACCCTGATTTAAGGTTAATGAAGACCTGTCTTGTCTTCCCGATCCTGACTTTGACATCGTCATCTGTGCTGTCACCACCTGTATTTGAAACGATGCTGACTAAGCAGCTGGGTGAAAGACATTACTTCCTCTAGTTTTCTCCCGTTGATTGTGATTAGTGCTTCTTGTTTTTGTTGCTGGTGGTTGGGTATCTTCATCACCTCTGTCTTCTCTACGTTCACCTAAACAAAGTCCCATCTTTCTTCACTGCCTCTTCGCCACCTCCTCTGCCAACTTGTTGGTTTTCGCCTGTAGACCTTTGAGTTTGTGCGACAAGATATCAGACATAAATCATCATCATCATCACCATCGGCGGTGGCGGCGGCGGCGAAATCCAAATCTTCTTCTGGGATCTTTTCATCGGTCCAATCAGTGTATGCCCATCTTCTCACAGCTCCTCACGGTTCGCTGCATGAGCCAGTCCCGTTCAGTCCAGTCCAGTCGACCACAATCAGGAAGATCATGAGTGATGATAGTAGTCGGCAACCTTGTCTTACTCCTGTCTCCTGTCTCCTGTCTTCACTTCGAAGGCGTCAATGAGCTTTTCACTGTGACTCACTCTGCATGTAGCATCATATAGCATGGTAGATAGGTGTTGAGTGAGGTTGATAAAGGTTTGTGGCACTGAGACCGTAGTGTTGGAGCAGTTGCCTGCCAAATTACTTGTCGGCCGACTCTGTTCAAGGCATTTTCGAAGTTCTATACCATTCTATACTTTGTTCAACGATGATGCATAGTGTAGCGTTTCAATTTGATCCTCGCATGATTTGTTCTTCCTGAAGCCAACCAGCCAGCCTGTTCCGGTCGTAGTTGTGAGCCCAGATCATTTTTAGTCTCCCTAGGATGATGTTTCTTGATATTTTGTTTGCTTTGGGTGGACAGGAGAATGATTCCTCACCAGTTCTTGCACAGACGTAGGTCACACTTCTTTGAGAGTTTGACAAAGTAGCTCTTCCCTCAACCCTTCCTTCCTTGCAAACATTGTGCAGTAATGGTGTGAGCATGTCCACTGTCATCTCTGCCTCAGTTTTCAATGCTTCTGGAGTAATCCCATCTGGTCGTGCTGCTTTCCCGGATTTCAGCAACTTTATGGCGTTCAGGACTTCACTTCTGCTTTTGTCGGAGGGTTTGTGTTGACTGGTAATTCTGTGGTGGGGATGCTGGTAGTATTTCTGGACAAGTTGCAGGTGATGGTGTGGTGGTGGTCGATTCAAAAGTTTTTTGAGGTGGTCAGTGTAACGAAAATAAACGAATTTAGCTAGGGATTTTACTGAAAACGCTCTTTTCACTTTTGAGTTTATGGTCCTGTCTAACTCCGGGTTGCATTATTTTAGCTTTTGTTTTTCATTTTACTTTACCTCGATACACTGACATAAGGTGTAGTAGCTGGAACTGCTACACGATATTAAAAGATCTCATTCTGATAATGACCTGCTTACTGACTTCATTTAAAGATAACTTTCTTTATTCAGTGATAACGACTTAAACGTCTATGAAAATCAAATAACACAATGCATCTACTTTTCCCTACTGAGGGATTAATTAGTGAGAGTCGGACTTCAGATTTTCAAACTTTTTGGAAGTGGTATGACACTGAACCGTGTTTCTGGAACCAGGGTATCTAAAATTAGATAAAGCAACGCTTAAATACTTTTCTGTGGGAACCTAACATACTCGTGTTAAGTACAAATTTTTAAACAGCGGTTACACGGTCAGTATATCAAACTAGTGTACATGTGTCGCATAAAACAATACAAGTCCTTTGGTTCCATTTCAGTTTGTTTGTCCGATGTTCCACTATGTGACACATCTAACAAACTAATTAAAATGTAATCACAATCAACCACTGTGCTTAAGTTCTTGCATGCTTATTTATCCCTAATCTTACTGTTCTGCGCAGTAACTCCTTCTCTGTGAACAGTGATTTAACAAATCATTCTATGTACAACTATCAGTGTTATTCTGCTGATCCTCAAGACTGACATACATCTACTGGTCGTAAATGCTACTTACTAGCTGATGTAGACAGTATAACACCATACTGTATTGAGTAAACTTTCGTTATCACTATGCACCACAAGCAAGATACAGATCCACATCTACCAACACTATTAACAGAGTAAGAGAGAAAAATCCGTTTTCGAGTTATTCGTAACATATAAATCGTCCCAAATCCCTGGATTATACCTTATCATGAGAAATCGTTTCACACAAAATATTACATTCAAAAAGTACTTACTGGAGGAATTAAAATAACAAGCTACAATTTATAAGGTTACATGTGTTTTTAAACTGGAGTACAGTGGTTAACATTTAATATTTGACTGATAAACAGCTCCCATATTCAAGCTTCTTGTTTGCACAAGACTTCGTAAATATTTTTGAGTTCAGTTTTACATTAAAAACCATTTTGTAAGCGAAAATAAAGGGTAATCATTTTAAAGTTTCAGGGAATAGTTTAATGGAAAAAATCTTGGAAATTTAGGCCTCCAGATTACAAAATACCTCTTAAATTAGGAAATGAAATTCACTTAAAGCTTCCCAACTTTTATTTGCTTAAGTGATTGTGTACAGAAAAATCTGCTTAAGAAAAGTGAATCTGTGATGCCGTCACCATAGTTTTGAGCATCTATGTCTATCTTAGCTATGAGTGTGATAAAACAACGATATCATAAGTCGTTTACATAACCCATCTTCAACAAACAGGTTAGTTTTTAAAATGGCAAAATGATTTGTGTACAGTTAAGGTATTTTAATTAACAGCGTAAGGCGAATAGCATTTCTGAGACTTAGTACCATTATGTTTTGCAACACCCCTTTCAATTTATGTGAAAACCATGATATATTATCCTCTGGTTAAAATTTTTGCAATACCTTTCTTTCTTATAATACCGATGTATTTGCAAGTAAATATGCTTATAGTTTTCTTTTTTAACTATCGGCTTTACTTTTGACATTCACAATCCAAGAAAACAGCTTTAAATCTGTGCTTAACAACCAACCTAACTATCGTTTCACACATCACTGAAACTGAAATTTGGACAATGTACAGTGATTTACTTAATTCTACCACACTAATTACTATTTTTCTCTTTTTTTATGCTCTGATGTTTCACCTTGTTTTCCGCTTAATAACAGGTGTGGATACAAAGTAACGGCAATCAAAATTAGTTAGTATAACATAGTTTTTTTTAATTTTTACGGCTGTGAGATACTGTAAAGCATGAGAGGTCAGTAAAGTTGTTTATATCTAGCTAATCACAATTTTCTCACGTACTCGCGACATACATACCATTCATAAAAGGTTTAATAACAAGCTAAAAATGTGGTTGAGAAATAACAAAGCAATAAAACTGTTTATTAGCGTAAACCACCAGCTTTTTGAAGATATTTATCCATACACGTACATATTTGTAGACCTTTCATGGATAAAAATACTTCACCACTTCTCTCTCTCTCTCTCTCTCTCTCTCCCTTGGGGAGGTCACTGTGAATCACGCCTAGATTTTCCCTATTATTTTTTTAAAAATAAGGTCTACATAGCTCACTCTAGTAGCTCAGGAGAAGTGAATTACGTTTCCAGTACACTTGCATGCTGTCTTCAATTTTCTTCTGTTACGTTATTTTCTGATTATGTTACTGAAACCTTCAAGTATCTTCATCCCTTGCACAACTTTTTATAGCCCTCCTCGTCTAGCTTTTCTATTCCATACACATGACGGGAACTATTATTAAGTTCTGTAGTCACTCCATAATATTTAGCCAGAGAATAAACCTAGCATAATCTTATAATGATCTTGAAATCATGATCAAACATCCTCATTACATTTTTGGATTTTTCTGGTAACCATCTTGTTCGAATAAGTAAATATAAAGGCATATGATAAAAACCGAAACAGTGTAACCATAATTTACAACATGAACGCTGGTTCCATTAACAAAAAGCTTTTTTTAAAATATTATCCGAACTTAATTTCAGCTATTAGCCTTGTATGGAGTACATGAAAACTTTCATTTTAGTTGAAAAATGTTCGATCCCTTGAGAGGTCATGAGTGCGTACTGCTGAGGAACCCCACACCAATTCTAAACGTCTATCCGGTGCTCTGAGTTCTTCTATGGTTCTCCGACTGATATCAGTCCAAGATAAAAACGATTTTCAAATGTAAGGAGTAAGGGATGCATAAGAAAGTAGCTGTAAGGAACGTTTTGGTCCTTTCGACCAA